TAGGTAAACCCCAAACCTTTAGCCTGCTGTTCCATTGAAAGAGGTCCTCAATGGCAGGAAGTATGATTTGGAAATATTCTCATCACTGCACATTCAGCTGATGTCTACCAAATGACTTCCCACTAAAGAGCCATCCGTCAGGAGCAGGCTTTCATCAATAAGTCACTAAAATGGATGTTCTGCGTCGGTACATGTTCCCTCGCTGTCAGGCTTACACGGACCTTTCGGGAGACCCTGGGGACAGGCCATCTGTGGCAATGCCACACGGAGAAAATGATCGTTCTTTTCAGAGAACACAGTGGTGTGTTGGGCAAATGCTACAAGCATATTAAAACCTAGAAATGTCGGACTCCGGGGATTCTATTAAGTATCCCTGATTTCTTTGATTACAGGAAAATAAAAAAACCTATTTTAAAAGATTTTTAATTATGTATAAAATAGAGGTAACCCTGCTGATCTTTGATTCTAAAATGTCAGTAACCTTCCCAAAATCATCAGATTTTTTTTTTAAGTTTACATAGTCTTACAATAGCACAAGCCATATACATTTTTAAAGTTATAATGAAAAAAACAATTTGGACTTGGGAAGATGATTTTTAGATATTACTGTTAATAATTACACCTAATATTTAGAGTACACCACACAGAAGTAACTTTACATTAAGTATCTCAGATAAATGAAAGACTTGGTTTTACTAGCTGTGTATTTGGTAATTTCTTGTAATATTTAGGATACACTTTCCAGTGACTGATCTATCTATTGAATGCACTAAAATCAGAAAGAAAACACACACACACACGCAAAAAAAAATCATCTGTTTTCAATCGAAAACCTATTCCACTTAAACGGAAACCCTTTAGTTATTTCGCTAAGATTTCCATGCTTCAACAAAGCTTCCAACCATATTTCATTCTGAAGTTGCCTGCTCACCACTCAGTCTGAACGGTTCGCACCTGTACTAGTCAAATGATCTAAGCTGGCCTCCTCTCTGACCAGTGTCCTCTACTGGGACCTACAGGAGCCTTAACAGGCCTGGCTCTGTCCTGACTGCTCCAGATGGACTGTATCTGTTCTTCTGTCTTTAAGCCATTCAAGCAGTAAGCTTAAAAGATTTATTTTTATTTCATATTTTGTAGTTCTGAAAATAGAATCCATCACACTCTAAGAAAAAACCATAAAACCATTGTATAGAGACTCACAGCCCCTAGGGTTAGGGGTTATGAGTGAATTCCAGAGTACGAAATCTTGACATCAAATTCAGTCTGTCCACTGCCTTGAACACACTATTTTCAAACCCTTTAAATATTGATCTTTTGGTGTGCAATTCAACAATATCCATACCAGAAGTTCCTGTTTTAAATTAAAATGAATTAACTTCTCTCTAAAATCGTAGTGGTTACTCTTCCTAGAGATGAGATGATGATCTAGTCTGGTTTCTGTAAGACAGATCTGATTTATATCTGCTAACTTAGTGTAAAAGGCAACTCCCCACCTCCACCATGGGGACCAGTCCAGTGGCACAGTGGGTTAAGCCTCCACCAGTGGTCCCAACATCCCATATGGAGGCCAGTTCGAGTCCCTGCTGTTCCACTTCCAATCCAGCTCTCTGGTTATGGCCTTGGAATTCAGAAGTCCTTGAACTATTGTCCCCAGGCTACTGGTCTAAACTAGGGAGCTACTAAGACAGACTAAGAAAAATATGTTTCTCTTTGGCCTGCTGAAAACAAGAGGAGGGTTGTAAGCCAGGCAGCAGCAGAGCATTCAGCTGGCTTGTTCCTGCAGCCACAAGACTGTGTCCTTCACTCCAGTGATGACACTTGCTTCCGGTCTCTCGGTTTTTATCAGCACTCCCCAAATCAGAATCTACTCCCCAACAACACCAGCAGCATCGCCTCCTCAAACATCTGAGGTCACTGCTGCACCCAATCTCCCTTCCAAGCTTTTAACTGTCAGGAACCACGGTCACTCCCAGAACCCCCTTTCTGCATCGTGGGTTCATCAGCGCCAGCTCATCCGACTCCTTTTCCTTACACTGCATATGTGCTCTGTCTGTTGTCCGGGTCTTGAATAATACTATCACTATTCAGAAAGGAATGGGATGCAGAGGGGCGAGTTCTGCTTCTACTCTTTAGAATGTCTTTATGTATCATGTAATCCACAATTACAGAATAATATTAAACTTTTTTTTTTCTTTTCACATCAAACAAGTTAAACACATACCAACCCCTGATACTAATATGCCCTCATCCCCTGCCTGGTTTCATGGCACACAGCTCCTCAAACCTGTGCAGCTGAGAACAACTGCTCCTGAACAACTAGATAGGTGGGGAAGGGCTCCTGGTTGCCCTGGGAACCACCACAGGATTAGAATGTAAGTTCTGTCCCCTTTTCCCATCTCCAAGGGGTGAGGAACTCAAGTTTAAGTGTATCGCCAGTTGCCAAAGATAAAATCAAGCCTGTTCAATGATATCTTCACAAAATGTAAAGGACTTTGTCCAGAAGCATAGTTATGCCTGAAGAGTAATGTGCCCGGTTAGCCCACGAAGTGCCACAATTCTTCTCGTGTGGCCTTTGGAATGTCCTTTATGACAAACCAGCAAAGGTGCCACCCTGAGTTCTGAGAGGCAGGCAGCAAATTCACAAACCAGTGAAAGAGTACTGGGAAGGTCTAAATTACTGCCACAGCTGAGCATCATGGGTCACAACCTGAGGCTTGCAGTTCATGCAGGAGTTGAGGTCAGATTCGTGGGAGGAACCTTTCATCTATGGAATCTGTCAGAATTAAACTGATTTACAGAACATTTTGTTGGTGTACACTGGACAGTCTGGCGTCAGTGTTGTGAAAAAGACAGGAAAAGCTGACATGGTGGTGCAGCAAGCTTATTCCTCCAGCCTGCGGTACCAGCACCCAATCCGGGTACTGGTTTGTTACCTGGCTGCTCCACTTCCAACCGATTTCTCTGCTTATGGCCTGGTAAGGCAGCAGAGGGTGGCCTGAGTCCTTGAGACCCTGCAACCATGTTGGAGACCCAGAGGAGGCTCCTGGCTCCCAGCTTTGGATCAGCTCAGCTCTGACCATTGCAGAAATTTAAGGAGTGAACCAGAGTATGGAAGACCTCTCTCTCCTTTTTATGTAACAATCTGCCTTTCAAATAAAAGGCATAATTTTTTTTAAAAGAAGGATCAAGTGATTTTCTCTTCTGCATTATCACACATTAATGGAAGTACTTTCAACTTTCTCCTTGTAGTATCTATCCACCCAGCAGACTGTAATGTGGGAGATTCTAATAGGTTCACGGCTTCCTTACAAAGCCACTTGAGGCAGGCATGAGGTGGGCGGCTGAGGCTCCAGTGAAGACACCTGCATCTCACACCAGCTTCATCCTGGGCTCCAGCTTCTAACTCCAGGAGAAACCAGGATGGTGCAGACATCTGAGTCCCTGACATGCATGCAGCGCATGAGGACCGAGGTCCCGGCTCCTGGATTTGGCTTTGACGCAGCTCTGGCTGCTGTGAGGGGATTAGGAGTGAACCAAGGAGATGGGAGCTGTACCTCTGCCTCACAAATACACATGCTTAAAAAGAGAAGAAAACAGCAAGCTCTACTGGTGTGTAACAAAGGTGAAACAAAAGAGCTTAGTCAACAATTCTCTAGTTATCAAAGCTTAGCTTGACACCCAAACAGCAATGCACTCGTGATAAATATGATGACATATACGGCTAACACCGACCTCCTTCTGGCAAAAATAACCAATCCTTCAGAGTACCCCCTCCTAGCCAGTTCCATCAGTTTGTCGACTCAACAATTCCTAACACTGGTATAGCTGGGAGTATTTTACATCATACTGTAAGGCAGAGCTTCCACAGACATGAAGAGCCAAGGCAGGTGTTCTCCGTAACCTACAGTAAAACTGTCATCCCAAGGAAACGGTACTCATGTTAGCAACTGATATCTCCCTTAAAAGCAACAAATTGTTGTTGGAAAAAGGACACAACTGGCCAAGATTCAGTTTACTTTTCAGCTGCTTTGTTCTTCATTTTCCTGGAGATCACCATATTTCATGATCAAGACACAGAAGGTAATTCACCAGGAAAAGTGATAAAAAAATTTTTTTGAATGTCAAAGCATATTTGTTGCCTTAAATACTGCTTAGACTACAAACACTTCATATTCAACATTACATTTTATTCCAGGGGAACAATTGCTCTCTGGGAACTCTGAAATGTCACTGTTGTTACTGTTACTTTATTCCTTACTAATTTTTTTTCTCAAACGTCTTGTGGATAACTCTTAATATTCTAAGTACCGGGCTGGCACTGTGGCATATTATGCCAAGTCTCCGCCTGTAGCACCGGCATGCCATAGGGTGCCAGTTGGTGTCCCAGATGTTTCAGTTCTGATCCAGTTCCCTACTTATGGCCTAAGAAAGCAGTGGAGGATAGCCCAAGCCCTTGGGACCCTGGAACCACATGGGAGACCTGGAGAAAGCTCCTGGCTCGTGACTTTGATTTGGCCCAGTTACAGACATAATGGTCATCTGGGGATTGAAGCAGCAGGTAAAAGATCCCCTCTTTCTGTCTCTCCTTCTCTCTCTGTAAATCTGCCTTTCAAATAAGAAGAACCTTTAAAATAAAATATTCTAGGAATCTACAACATTAAAATTGCCTCAAATTTTATTAAATTTAAAACAGGTCCAAATAAAGATCATTTGGTCAACTCAATTCTCTTCCTGACAAAGCCCACACCACTAGAAACTGGGTTGTTATTTAAGAATCAATGTGTTCCATTTTTCTCAGATTTCCCAAAAATCATTTGTGTCCCCCCAATCTACATTTCTATAAATCAGAGATGTCCACCACCACCTAGGAGGTGTGTCTGTTTCCTGATGAATCACAGAATGTTCCTTTATATAGGCAAAACACCGTCTTCAATTATTTCTGCAATTTAATGGTTTTCTATTTTCATCACCGTGATGTCTGAGTGATAACTGTCATAATCAAGATTCCAAAAGTTAAGTCTTTAATTCTATCAAGAAGTGAAATGATCTCAGTTGTATCCACTCAATTGGTTTAAGACGGAACTCTTCAGATTCACCTGTCCTACCAGGAAGAGCCAGCAGAGGAATGAAGGGGCATGATGTGTGAGAATACACAGGTCTACATTCACACCGCTTCTTCCAAACTGAAAGATGTGAATCATACAAAAATAAATTAGACCCATAGAGGCATCTTGTACAGAAACATAAATTATCCAAACTGATTAAATCTTAGTGAAAAAAGGAACCACTCTATTGACAGTTGTATTTCAATTTTTGTTTCATTATCCAGTAAAAGCGAGAGAAAAGATTTTTAAAATCGGGGCATTAGCAGACATTAGACATTAAAAATAGGACAGAAAATTAACCAAGTTTTAAAATACTAACAAAATAAACACTTTGTTAATAGAAGGCTGAAAACTGTGTTCACAAAATAAGTGACTGATACCAAATTTAAAAATCTCAAAGAATAGGTACCACATGATTTGATCTTCCAAAACTTTTTATGAAAGCTATATTGTAAACACAAAGCTAAACTATTTGCATATCAACAATGTTCATATAACAAAATTCAACAGCAATAAAACACACAGGTATATAAAACTGCTTATTCTTGGGACCTTTTGGGGAAAAAAGGTGGGGAAAGAAAAACAAGTTTTTAAAAAGTGGCTCCAGGCACAGATATAGTATTTAAGATGGTGACTGCAACATTTTCAAGTGTTTATCCTTATCATTCTTTAAATGTCACCCGTCATAATAGCAATGAACTCCTCTTGGTTTACTGTGGTAAGAAAGAAAACACAACAGTCAGAAAAACAATATTTTTTCAGAGATGACAATTACCACTGCACATTACTCAAAACTTTTTGCACTTTACAAAATTCATAATAATTCAAGACATGGTTATTTTATTTCACTCTAGGAAATTAAACATGCTTTTTAAATGGAACTTCTTCAATACAAATGCTGATAAAGCAGGACAGCCATTAAAATAACATATTAATATAATAAAATATTATGCTACCAAAAAGTCAATCATCACCATACTTTTCTATGCAATAGCTAAATCACTTTTTTGATATTTACTAGTTTACTTAGCACATTTTCCCTTAATAATTAAACCTGAACCACACATATAAATTAAATGAGTTCTAAAGAACAAAATCAGAAAAAAAAAGTCAAGATTCTGTTTTCTGAACTTTTATGTATCTATTTGAAGATTTATTGTATTCCTATGAAAAGCAGAGTTATAAAAAGAGAGAGAGAGAGAGACAAAGACAGAGAGAGCTCCTCCATCCATTGGTTCACTCCCTAAATGGCCACAACAGGCAGGTCAGATCAAAGCCACAATCCAGGAGCTTCATCTCTGTCTCCCAGGTGAGTGCAGGGGCCCAAGCTTTTGGCGCATGCTCTGCTGCTGTCCCACCCACATCAGCAAGGAGCTGGATCAGAAGTAGATCAGCCAGGACTCTGACTGGCACCCATTCAGGAAGTCAGTAGCTTAACTTGCTATACCACAACTCATAGGCCCCACTGAATTTTTATATATTTAAAAGCCCATTAAAAAAAAGAAAGAAAAAAGAAAAGCCCAAGTCACCATAGCTCAAAAATGTCAATAGAAATGACAAATTAAAAATATACAGAGTTGATTTTAATGATCAAAAAGCAACTATAAGACACAGACAGAAATGCAGGAAATAATTACTAGTAAAGACTATTTGTAACTTTATCAAAATCAAACACAAAATTAATCAAGAACCTCTCATTTATAAAGCATAATGTTTAAGATAAAAAAATTAAAATGAACAGAAAATTGAGTTTACTAAGTATAATTTCTAAAAATCAATGCACACATTTGTTAGAAGCCATTGGGAAAGAACGTTTCCACTTGTGAAACCTTGAGTTTATGGGACCCCAGAATGAACACTTCTTATCAAAGCACAAAATCTGCAAGAGAAAACTGAGAATGATACCCAGCTTTAATACACAGCACTGCCCAAAACAATTTTGTATCTCATTTCCTCCATCTGCGAACACTCCACTGTGAGAGAAGGTTTTGAGCTGTTTTTAACTCCTACAGACCGTAGATGGTGATATAAAAACATTCCATTGACACAAACATTTTTATGTACTTTAGTAAGTTAAATATGTGAAAAAGACACCAGGTTCCTATTCTGGAATATATTTAAACTGATGTGAGAAAGAGACTAGATGAGATCACAAAAGTATTTCTCTTTAGGTATAACAACATGATAGCTATGAAAGATAATGTTCTTAATAGACAAATATTAAAATATCAGGGTGTCAAGTTCTTTATATACGGAACTCATTTCCAGATAGTTTGGAAAAAAAAATACTGTATAGAAAAAGTAAATACAATAATACGTTCACCAAGCCTGGGCAGAGGTGATACAGCGTTTACTGTTAAGAGGCTTGAAGATATCAATACTGAAGATTTAAAATGAATTTTTAAATGTTGAAGAGACAAAAACATGTTTGTCAGGAATGAAAAGAATATTCTAGTCCCAGAAACTACATAGAAAATCAGTTACAGTGATTATCAGATTTTATAAGAAACAGAGAAGAAATACTATCTAAACAAAAACGTGATCCTATTATTTTTAAAATAAAAAACAATATACATGTGGAGAAATAAAATCCATCACAATGTGAAGATATATTACTGATGAGAAAACCTCAAGTTAGAAATAATCATGATGGGAGCGCTATAATAAAAACAACACAGGACTTGGAATGGAGACGGGGAAAGCTGAGGCAGATGAATACCATCAGAGGCACAGCTTAGAAAGCACACACGGCGTGCCTAGCGAAAAGAAGCTCTAAGTTAGGAAGAATGAGCTGTGCACAGCTGAGAGAGAACCATAAATCCATGCCATCAACATCAAACATGTACAAGACATTCCTACAGAAGTGGTAAGAACAGAATACATAAACCTTTAACACTCTCTAACTCCTTCTAAGGCTCTTACCGACTGGGAGCAGTGCCTCTGCAGTTAAGTAAATGCCACTGAATACTTCTTGAAAAGTAGGATCTTCAACTATATAAAACTTAACACCAGCCGGGAGCAATGGCTTGATGGCTAAATCCTCACCTTGCAAGCACCAGGATCCCATATAGGCACTAGTTCATATCCTGTCTGATCCATTTCCCTTCCAGCTCCCTGGCCCAAAGAATTGGGATTCTGTACCCTCACAGGAAACCTGGAAAAAGCTCCCAGTTCCTGGCTTTGGATTGGTTCAGCTCCGGCCATTGTGGCCATCTGGGGAGTGAACCAGTGGATGGAAGATCTTTCTCTGTCTCTCGTCTTCTCTGTAGATCTCATCTGCCTAGCAGAAGCGTCAAGACCAAAAGAAGACAAGAAGAAAAAGAACAGAATGTGGAGCCGTGGCTAGGTTGCCTCTTGGGAGCCCTGTGTCACACCACGGCACCTGGCTTTGGCTTCCTCTGCTTGTGATCCACTTTCCTGCTAACATACTCCCTGGGAAACAGCAGCTGCTTGGGTGCCAGACACCCAGGGGAGAGAGCCAGATGATTTCTAGGCCCAAGGCTTTGTCTTGGCCAAACCCTAGCTACTATGGACATTTGGAGAATAAACCTGTTAATGAAGGATCTTCTTTTTGTCCTTCAGATAAAATGAAAAATACGAGAAAAAACATTTTAATAATACAATGGATGATTATATCAATTAAAAAAATATAACAACCTTATAATAACTTAACAATTTGGTCATTTTGATAGTGAGAACATCATAATTAAGATATTTAAAATCTGAAAAGTACTTACATTTTGTTACATAAAAACCTAGAACTTTTTCTTAATCAGAAAAATCCTAGTACTTGAATTTCAAATTAAGCTACATATAGAAGTTCTAAAACCACAAAACACTTAATCTTTGGTTTTGGTTTTTACACAAAACCTTAAAGTTTTATAGTATTTCAAAAGTATTTGAAACTATTGCATGATTTCATATCTACAAGCATAAGTTAAATTCAAAAAAGTAGGGATTAAGGAAATTAAAACTACTTACCTAACTACTATCAGAGAGCCTTTCAGATAGTTAAAAGAGAATAGTTGATGCCTTTGAACATTTGGCTTCACATATTTAAAAGCCTAATAAATCTGGCATGATGCATAGTTTAAAACTAGGACTTGATAAGACCCTTAGGTGTCAAATCAATATGACATTTGCTTTTTTCTCCTTTACCTTCCTAAAAAAAATGTGTCATTATTCCATCATTTCACAGGGTAGGTCTTACTACAGGTAGCTGGCAAAAACTGTAGAGAATCAAGTCAATTAAGTACCCTAGAGACCTTCTGGTTTGGAAGGTGGAAAAACAAGGTTTAGCACTGCCAAGTATCAGTGGAATTTGCTACTATCGCCTTACTTCAACAGTGAAAAATTTTTAAAACACATAAACATAGATGCCCAGTTAACTACTGTACAGTCTAGTCCTCCATAGCTCTCTATTTAAGTCTGTTCTTGGGGGCAGGAGTTTGGCACAGGGGTTCAGATGCTTCTGGGGTCGCTCATGACCCTGCCAGAGTGCTCAGATGGTACTCCAGCTCCTTCCGTTGCACTGCAGCTGTCAGCCAGGGCGCAGCCTGCCAGGCAGCAAGTTATGGTTCTCATACTCGAACCCCAAAAGTCACTGTGAGAAAGCTGGATTGAGACCCTGGCTTTAGCCTCGTCTATGTACACATTTGGGGATTGAACCAAGAGGATAGATCTCTGTGCGTGTCTCCCTTTTTGTCTTTAAAATAAAACAGGAATAAAAAAAAATGTTCTCATCACTGTGGAGATCTAAGTCCAAGTTATGGCCCATTCGTGCATTACTCTGTGATAAACTCAGCAGATTACTAATTTCTCAAAGGTTTTGTTTCCTCAGGCATTATTCACCAATGTATTCTATGCTTGTAGAGGTATAATACTGTACCAACTTTATAAAAGCTATTATGAAAATTAAGATAATTCACAATTCTAAACACAGGTCTAAAAGATAATTACTATGAAATCATTTATTTACATTTAAAAATCACTCTTAAGATGGCTCATTTAGTCTCTTTTTGAAAAAAAAACTGGATTGTGCTGGTGGAGACACAATTATTTATTATCACTACAGCTTTACCTTTATGGTGCTAGTATTATTCAATACATGTAACAAAATACGTTCATTGCTGTTAGAAACTACACAGTGAAAAAATTCACAAAAATAGAATTACTCAAGTCCTTGGAAGAAGCAGGAGAGTATGACCTTTGGCAGTTTAACATACCAAAAAAATAGTTTGTATCTCTAAACCAAACATGATTTGCAGCCCAAAGAATCCACATAAAGTGTGAAAGTTTACAGTTTGCCCCTCTATATATTATGAATCTCCAAAGAAATTCTCATAATCATGCAATCACAGACCATTAGGGGAGGATTTGGGGGTAAAACATGGTATATAAAAAGCATCTGTGACAAAGAGCAACACTTTAGTAGACACAAGGAGGCAACTAGAACATTCCAGAAGAGAAGAAAGGTATGACCAAAGGCACAGCAGCAAAACATGTTTTCTAGATACTCAAGAGTACTCTGTCCAAGAGTGCGCCTACAGAGAGGGCGCGATAAAGCAGAAAAGTCGAAGACCACAGTGGGAAATAAAGGTGCTTAATGTGGAACGCAGGATCAAAGGCCCTGAACTTCATGCCAGAGGCCAAGAATCATTTTGTGTTAGAACATCGAGTCTGTACGGTAGGTCTGATCTGACCTCATCAACAGCCTGCAGAGGAAAGAGACTGGGGGCACACAGGCCTACAGCACAGCCAGGGAGGAAAGGAGAGATTGCAAGGTGAGGCAGGAAGCACCTCTGTCAATCTCCTCATAGAGCCGACTGAGCACACAGGACACCACACCCAACAGGCAGGGAGGGAAAAAATAAGGGCAGGTAACAGGGCCTGAGGCAGGAAGGCAGCAGCGAACAAAACAAAACAAATTGTCAACATCTGAGCAGTAAAAAAAACAGCTTAGAAATGCATGCAGGTTAAGGAGAAAGCTCCAAAGTCTGAAGCTTTATGGAGCAGCTGAAACCGCAGAGCTTTCTTGTTCCGAGAACAATGAAGTCCTGCCTGCATTGTGGATGCTCGTGCAGTTGGCGTTGTCATCCCGCCTCACTCTAAATCAAGTGTGTGGAGTATTCCTGCCAGCAGCCCATTATAGGACAGTCATCACACGAATAACCAGTGATAGCATGCAAAAGGTCCTGAACGTCATCAGGTCTTAGGAAAAACGTATTAGAGGCATAGCATCATGACACTGCAAAACTGTGTTTTACCCAAAACTTACTTTCTCCATCACCATCTTTATCAAATTCCTCTATCATGGCTCGAAGTTCTTCATCACTCATGTTTTCACCCAGTTCTCTGGCAACACGACGCAAATTTCTCAAGCTGATTTTTCCTGAATCATCATCATCAAATAGTTTAAATGCCTTCAGGATTTCTTCATGTGGATCTCTTTCCAATATCCAGTCTGTCACTACAGTTAAAAAATATATTTTAAGCCTGCATAATCACAAAGACATTCAACTGTGAAGTCAACTAAATATGAGATGACAGTTAAAGCAGTAAATGTATCAACATTTAATCTGACAATAAAATGTCAAGCTAGATCCTCAACTGCAAATAAATCTGATAATGAAAAAGCCAAACTGATATTATATTCTTTAACCTTTTTATTGTCAGCAATCTGTCTTACAAGAGCAGGCAAAATTATACCATATGGATCCAAAATGAAAGGAACCATACTCACACCTTACTCACTTGAGGCCCACTGACATCAAGAGTAGTACTAAGCTCCACTGACATCAAGCAAACCAACCTACTAGTTGTAAAGTAGTTGCAGAGAGATAATCAGAAGGAACTGAATACAATCGCTGGCTAAACTTGCTGCTAATACGAATTCTGCAATTTAGCCAAATTTAAAAACAGCAAAACTTGAAGAATTCACAAAACATGACCATCACTGACTGACACAGGCACAATCTCAGGGAAGACAGGAGCATACCCCATGATGAGGAGAACCTGCTTCACTGTTTCACGATTTGTCTATTTATTTAGAAGGTGGAGCGCAATAAAGAGGGAAGTCAAAAAGAGAACAAAATCTTCCATCCATTGGTTCTCTCTCCAAGACTACAACGGCCAGTTTGGTTCAGGTCAAAGCCAGGAGCCTAAAACTCCACCTGGCTCTCCCACAGGGCTGGCAGGTGCCTTGGAACTCGGGCTGCAATTTGCTGCCTCCCAGCAGCATTATCAGGAACCTGAATCCAGAAGCAGATCGGCTGAGACTCAAGCGGTCCTCCAAAACGGGACAGGGTGCCCCAAGTGGCAGCTTAACTCACCACACCACAACACTGGTCATAAGGGCCTCTTGATTTTCCCACATGTGAAAAGTAGTTAAAAGAACTGAATCAGATTATATTCCAACATACACACACACACACACACACACACACACACACACACACACACACACCCATGAGCAGAGGAAGCCTAACTCCCATCCCCCTTTTGGATAAGAGAAAACCATGCACAACTTAAACTTAACTTTGGAGCTCAATAGTATTAGTATATTTTGATAGTATATTTTAACATATATTAAAAAAAACCATTTGTAACAATTTAGTAAGCTTAAATATCTTTATATTACCACTCTTCAATCCATAACCACAATAATACATACTGAAATAAAAAATTCATAGTATAAAGTTTTGTATACTACTAAATAAAATTCTGAAAAAAAATCTAAACATCTCAAATAATTCTACAAGATATTCGACTCACTACAAGAAAGGGTGTTTCAAAATAACTTAATCCTGTTTAATCTACAGACTCATTAAAAAGCTGCAATGGCTAAAAAATGTCAAGCATGGGAAAGTTAAATCTAATGAATCCAAAATAAAAATTTTAAAAAATTGCAACCCAAGTCCCCAACAGGCTTTTTGTTGTTTTGCTGCTGTTTCATCTGTATTTGATTGAACAAGTACCTTCTTATTCAAGCTAATGTTATATCATTTACACATATGTTCCACGGGCTTCCCCCCACCCCTTATTCACCCATTAATTTTATACCAAAAGGTTTCCAAGTAATTAATTGAAGTTTATTACTATAAGTATGCAAATGCAGCTCATAAATATTCAGTTAAGAAGGAACTGGCATACATACAGCCATAACACCAAAATAAAATACCACACTTCTCCATGGCTCATACTCAACTTATTTTGAACTTAATCCCAACAAAATACAGGACAAGGAGAAAAAAGTGTTAAAAAAATTTCTCTACCAATTAAATAATTTGCATGACAGGTGAACCCAAAAAGCAGCTTGCTGAAAGTATTAATGCACTTACAGAAGCAACACGGAGATCTGGGGAACAGATGGGGCTCCAAGATGTATAAATTCTTATCCCATTATTGCCTTAACTGTGGTGGTTACTTCAGATTCACGGTTCTACATAATCATTAAACAACACTTTTCCTCAGAATGCCGCCTGCCTCAGCACTGACAAACAACCCTCACTTGCAGACTGTTAACACATTACCCAGTAAATAATAGTGACTCTGGATTTAAAGATAAGATTTTTTTCTATAAAATAAGATGATGGTCACACTGGCAATCAAGGCAGGTTCATCTGTTTCATAAAATTCCAAATATCTGCCCACGTAACACCATTTTCAAATGACTTAAATATACTCCCAGAAATGTACTTCAATCAAATATAAAATCACTTCAGGAAACAGCAAATTCAAAAATACCACATTAAAATGAAACAAATAATTAAAAGTGATGCTAAAAATGAGGACAGCTCTATTTCTCAGAGCTTTTGGAGTCTTTATGCAAACATGCTACAGTTCTTCAACTCAGCAGGCCAGACTCCCTCCTCCTTCCACTGTGACTGCCGTACCTGGTGCTCCCCCACCTGCAGGTCCACCCCAAAAGAGTTAACAGTGTTACTAACTACTGGTTACTATCCCAGAGCTGACCCCAATTCATGAAGCCCATAAACGTCCTCAGCCACCCTTCAGGACGGACAGTGGTGGCATTGACCCTCAAGTCCAACAGCTTTCTTTTCATTCTCAGCATGAAAAGTCTGGTATTTTCTATCTGCAGCATCTTTTCCCTCCAACCCAACGTTCAATACTCTGATCCATCAACCTTCTTAAAAACATCAAAAGTCATTCCTTCATGGCCATCAATGGACCTTTCTAGTGCACGTTTTTTGGCACCAAGATTTGGGGGGCCCAATCCCACCTCCCCAGTCATTTCTTTAGCCTTGTGCCCCAAAGGCGACCTGACTTCCCAAGCAGATTGTACATGTCTGGTACCCCTCTTTAATTCCTGCAATGCCATGTCTCCACTTCTCCTGCAATCTTCTCCTTGGAATGAGACCCTAGTCATATCCCAAAGGCCTAAATTAAATTCCTTTCATAAAGTTCTGACCCCCTCTACCAGGAAGTGATTAACTTTCCTTTCTCATACAAGTGCAGAACCCATCATCAAGTAAATGAACAGCAATACAACGATCTATTTTAAATAAATAGTTACACAGTAAGTAGTACACGGTTAAGAGCAGATGTAGAACAGACACCCCTCCTCTGGTCTTAGTGATTCCCAAGACATCTATGCTATTCACTGGCTGACTGGACTGGACGCTGCTATTACATCCATTTTACTGCTTTTTTCTGTTTTTGGCAAGAATCCAGTAAAGCGCCAGACTCCATCAGGAAAAGGCTGAGGGACAGTAACGGATGGTACTTAACGCCGAGTCAGACAGTATAAAATAGACCTTAGCATGTGGTCAGTTAAAAGCAATAAACAAATAAAGAGAACGCACAGTTCTTGATCATTTGATTCCCAAACAATAAACTTGCATTCTTAATGAAAGACCTTAAAACAGTGTGCTTTTTGCTGAGCCTGTCAAAAGTTCACCTTTGAGACTTTAGCTTTAGCTATTTATTCTAAGAGAAATGTAATATTACTGCTCTGTTAATAACATGGATGAGATGTCAAGAAAACACAGAGGTGGCATTGGACTCTCGTCTCCATTAATAAAAATCACATTTCAACAATTATGTTCACTCAAAGCCTGCACCATGGCACAGCACCTGAATGCCAGTCAAGTCCCACCTGACTTGCAGCTCATCTACCTTGGAAGGCAACTAGTGATCTGCCCCCCAAGTGTTGCATTCCAATCCACTACAATGAGTCAAATGTACGAAATGAATTGTCTTCTTATCTATTACAAAATGAGTTATAGTTCTTTCCCAACGGCAGGATCGTTTGGATAATGGTATACTTGCTACCACTCACGTATAGTTTAAACTCTGTTTCTAGAAAAAAAAATGAAGTTCAAATCCTACAAGACCCAAACTGCCAGAATAAAGGTGACTCTCCTCGTCTCCCCACTTCTATAAAATATGAGAAGAATCTGCTCCCGAAGAGGCAGGATGGCTCTCCACACACTCATGTGTCAATTCTGAAGCCAGAGATCTATGCTATCATTTCTGTCTCTTAGGTCTACCTTGCAGCTCACCTGCAAACGGTTTGAGCTTTCAGACCAAAACAAGCAAACAAAAATACAACAAACATAAAACCTAAGAATACGAATCTATTTCCTGTTCATTGCAATCTCATTTTCCTTCCCATACTACTCCATGCTTAATATTTAAACAGTATATCTGTCTATATAATGTAATTTGCTGCCACATTTGAGATAACCTGAAAATAACTAGCTATTCTTATATTATGACCAATCAAAAAAGATATCATTTGTTTAGAAAAATAACAAGGAAAGGAACCCAGAATCTGTATGCATTTTATGGATAATATTATAAACAGCATAGTTAAGATATAACAGCAAAGTCCTTCCAAAATCTCCTAGTCTGAAAAAGCATAATCTATACATACTATAAATACTTCACCGGAATCAACTGCACAAAAATTTGACCATATTAAACCAGTCTAAATGACGAAATATTGATGCCTCTGAAGCATTTTCTTCTGCTTCTAGCTGGCCAACTGCCTCCCTCACTTCCCCTCCTCACCCTCAGCATTACACAAATGCCTTTACTCATTGAGATCAAGGTCGCCCAGAGTACACAGCACCTCAGAAACCGTCAACCTGAAAGGAATGCACTGCGCACAAAACCAAGGACTCCAACTGCTACCAGCTTCCTTTTTTCCCACTTGGCAACAAAAATCACAGGCCTGAAAGGTCTTCCCAATTGTTTTCCAAACAACAGGATATCAATTTTTAGTTTTATTAAGAGCAAAAAAATGTTTTTTGACCACATAATATAAATCATGTTACTTGGAAAAAGCTTTCCACAAAAGGCTACCCAAGAGTTGCTTCGTTAGGCTACTCAGAACAACGGACAAAAAACTATGACTTTAAGGCAAAGCTGCTGGTGTTTTCTTTAAAAATCAGAAATGGGTTTTTATCAAAAAAAGAAAACAACCTGAAATAAGAGATATGTTATACACCAATCACCACTAAAAAAAATAAGAAAAGTAACCACTTTCCTAACTACTAATTATAGATTATTTTATTAACATACACACCAACTTCATTAAAATCTTCAAAGGTGATTTTCCCAGTGGCTTCTCGGTCATAATCTTTAAGAATCTTCAATACATCAGCTTTTTTCACATCAAACCCCAAGGCTCTCATTGCCACCTTTTGGATTAAAAGAGAAAAACAAATTATAAGGTACTCTTCACAAAGAAAGCAATTGCCAATGCTTATGGAATTTTTACATCTTAAGAGATGACAACACATTAATAAAATGCAATTCTTTTGCAAAAATCTTTAAAATAATAAATGATATAGTCCTTTATTCCTGGAACCAAATAGGAAACCTTTTGGTAACAAATATTACTCTATGTTCTTCATGAAGGTAGTGTTTTTTAAATAGAGAGCAATGTTACATCTTAGACTCAACAATTAGTAAATTTAAAAAAAAACACACACACCAAAACAACATGCAAAACAAGTTACTATTATTTAAAAACACTAAGGTTGTTTTCCATTGCAATATAAAGACTATACATTAAGATGTTTGCTTTTGGGGAAAAAAGTAAATGTTGGACTCCATTGCATGAATATTGTGTAAGTCTCTGTACATGTTAGGACTGCACGATCTAAACACCAACTAGTTCATAATCAGGAAATACTGCTGACAGTTGTCTTCTAGGGTTTTCACTGTTCTTGGGTCTTCTGGTTTCCCTCCTTTGCAGATACAAGTGCTCACTCAGAATTTGTTCACTGCTGCGCTCTGTGGTTTACCAATCAGCCCTTTACTCAGTTACTGCCATGCCAGCAGCGGGATTTTGGAAAGCAGATGCTGTCCCACCAATGCCACATTCTTCACATGGGACAGCATTAGTGTTTGAGTCACAGTAGAAATGCAGGAGTCTGCTCACTGCTGAGGAAGCCCCAAAGAAAAGCCCCTGGGCTTTCATCAACTCCTGAGCTAAGAGGAGAGGAGAGCAAAGGAGGACAGGAGAGTCGTGGGGGGGTATCTCCCCAGCTCCTGGGAAGCTCATCAGCAGAGGCACCAAATGCCTTAACAAGTTATTGCTTATCAATGGATTAACAACCAAGAATGAGGAAAAGGCATGACATAAATATTAAAATAAGCTACACAACAGAAGACATATTGCCATCAGATTGTACATGACTAGTGAGCAAATGAACAATCTAGGACAATGAGCTCAAAGAAAACAAGACCCGGACACTAGTACAAAGGAAAGACCTTGTACCAATTAAAGAAGTTTTCTGTGGAGACAGTCAAGTTGTTCCCTGCTGGTCACAGGGGGAGTGGACTTGCAGAAAGGACGGCTGGTATGAAAACAGACACTGAATCGAAGAACAGGGTTGAGGCACAGTGAACAAAGCAGGTCATCATGAGCAGCCAGCAGATGAGAAAAGAAGACGACACAGAAAGCCAAGAAATCTGAACTTCATGGAGTGTTCAGTGAGGAAACAGTAGAGGTTCATGAACACTGAAAAAAAAAATGGTGAATCTGAGAACAATCTAAACCTAAGGATGGTGTACAACGTGAGCTAGAAGCGAAGAAACAACTTAGTGAATTCCAGGAAATGAAAAAGCTTCAACTAACGAAGTTTGAAACCGAGAAGTCAATGGGAACAAATGGCACAGACAATATAAAGGCGGAACTGCTCAAATGTAACTAAATCAGAGCCAGAGAGAACTTAGAGAGAACTGAGCCACGCTTACACACTCACATCCTAAGCCCATAACTGAGGATGCCTTACGCCTATGTGAAATCTTTTAAAATCTCTTACAAAGTTAGCAGAAGTAACTTTATTGATACTGTTATTCACTTACCCAATAAGGCTACTCAAAACCTCAACATTTCTGACTTCTACAAATTGTGCTGAATTTAAGAACCACACAACTCTAAACAAAAATTCTCGTAAAAACAAAATCTGCTTATTTGAAAGGCAGTGTTGCAGCCAGAGAGGGAGAGGCATAGAGAGAGAAAGAGATCTTCCACTTACTGCTTCACTCCCCAACTGGCCACAAAGGCCAGCGCTGCTCTCTGACAAAAGCAAGAACCTTAAAAAAATAAATTAAATAAAAATATCATTCACTTTACCATGCAAAAAGTGTTTTCATAAATCTGCAACAGCATTTCTCCATATCTTTATTATAGCATCTATGAATACTTAAAAAGGCTTCATAGTTCCAAAAGCATTGTAGTTAGAATTATTCAGAAGTGTTTTTTAAGACTATCAAAAATGTAAATCACTGTGACAGATCAATACAGACGTAATGCATTACCTTCAGCTCATGGTAATCGATCGCATCATCTTTGTCCGTGTCAAATAATTCAAAAGCATCTTTAATCTCCTGTCTCTGTTCCTCAGAAAGTTCTCTTCTTTTCTTCCTCTTTGTTTTGTCTACTACAAACTCACTTCTACGAATTGGAAACCAAAAAAAAAAAAGTTATCAGTCCAATTTCATCTTATTTTCTTACACAAATTAGTCAATAAACAATTTTCTAAATTTTAAGAAATACTCCGAGTCCACACTGCTGTGAATGTACACTTCCCAACATTGACAACTGTGACTGTGAAATGGGGACCTCAGGCCAGCGTGGTGGGACAGTGCTTTAAGCCACCGGCCCAAACGCTGACGTCTCATTTGAGTGGCCGCCCAGGTCCCAGAGGCTCTTTGTGAAGCAGTTCCCTGCTACAGCGCAACTGCTTGGGTAGCAGTCACCCCTGGGGGAGACCTGGGTGGGCATCTTGGTGCCTGGCTTTGGACTGTCCAAGCACGGCCACTGTGGCCATTTGGGGAGCGAACCGGCACTTTGTTTCCATCACTCTCTTTCAAAAACACAAGTAAATCTAAAAACATGGGGACCAAATTTTCCCTCATCCCAGCTTGGTATCTATTCTTATACTATTACTGCGAAAGAAAGAAGAATTGGTAAGAAGTATTACTTCGACATCAAAATCCTCAACTGAAACGAAAAATACCAATGGTCACCACTCATGGCATTCCACAAGAGTGTGAAAAAAATCCTGTCCAAGTCAAAGGCAACTTATAGTTGACAATCCCCACGTGTGTTTGGTTTAGGACAGCTTATGTCATTTGCATTTCAAAGTCCTTGGGGGGTAAGAGGGGAACAGCATGGTGGGTCTGTGGGTTAAGCTGCCTCACCTATCCAAGAAGATTCTAGAGTCCAGGGACTCACCTCAGACCCAGCTTCTCGGGGAAGGCAGCTCCAGCCCTTGCCACCCATGCGCGAGACCCAGCTGGAGTTCAAGGCTCCGGGCCCAGGCTGGTGAGGCCACGAGAAGAGTGAACCAGCCAGCTCTTCCACAAGAGCCCTGGGTGGACGCAAACTTGGGCATCTCCGGAGTCAGGGGGCGCGTCCGGAACCCACACACACCTGACCCCCTCCGAGGGTCCCACGAGCGGCCTGCCTACAAGGATGTGATTTAAGACACACTGTCTAAACGGAAGGAGCCACACACAGGGGGGCTAAGGACCGGAACACGAGTCACTGCAAGGGGTCTCCGATTCGGCAAGGGTCCAGGTGAGCAACCCGCCAAGGACAGGTTATTTCCAAAACATCACTCCTCTTACCCGCCCCCTCCCCTAAAAGAGCCGCAGGACGGACGTCCCCCGGCCAGGCGACCACCACGCCTCGCTGACCTGCCCCCCAGCTTCCTGGCAGCGCCAGGCCCGGCCACCACCTCAGCAGATGCACCTGAGTCGCCGCCTGCAGGATGCCAGGGCCCCCATGGGCGCCGAGGCTGGGCATGCTAACGACACCCCTCTTCACCTGGGCCCCAAACGGCCGCCCTGCCACACCCGCACACACCGGCCCTGGGGGCCCACTCCGGGGTGTGGAGAGCACCGCTGCCTGGTTACCGACCTCAGAGCTAAACTCATTTTCTCTCCGCACAGAGACGTTTCTCTCAACGAATCTCTCCCCTAAAGCCCAGGCACCGCGAATCCCACCAGCCGTTTCCACAGAAGCGAACGGCCTCAGCGCCCCGAGGCACCGCCCACAGGATCCACAGCTCTGAACAGGATTGGTGAAAGCCGCACGCATCCTCTGTTTTCATTGGACGGTCTAGCGTCAGTCAACAAAACGGGCTGTGCTCGCCTCTCCTGCCGGCCCGGCGGCCCCTTAGATTGGCCAGTGGCTTTTTCCCCGAGTCCTTTGCGCCCGACTTTTCGTGGACAGTTCCCGGGTTGAGAAGGGAACGAGACCCCCGCAGGCGCCCGTCGTGCGGGAGCCGGGTCCTAGAGCCTGGCCTGCGCTCGCTGAGAGGCACGGATGTACGGGGGAAATGGGTGAGGTGTCCGCTTTTTGGTTCCGTTCCAGTGGATGTGAGCGTGCCTGTCCTGTGTGAAACATCCCAGTGACAGGCCAGCTTGTCCGTGGTGGCGTTATTCCGCCCTCAGACTGCCCTGCTCTGCCCTTTTCTTCCCTGGGAGTACTTAGGACGGGTTCCTGCCCCTTGTCTTCCGGGCACATTCGCCTGTGGCTCACAAGGGGTATTTCACCTGCAGGCAAGCCTTCGGAGCTTCTCTACAACGCTTTTGCTTGTAGGTAATAAAATTTCTATTGGGTAATGCTCGAAACAGTTAGCATGTCGCTGTCCTGCAGCGAACAATTTGACGCATGGAGGCAGTAATAACACGTGTGGACTACTGACTGGTGGTCAATAGCCCAAATTTATTAACAGCACCGGACTTTTTTAAAGGAAGGTTGGCACTTGGGCATCTAGGGAGGAGGGGCTTGAGCCATTTACATCTCAACTGCAAGGTACAGTTCCTCAAACCACAGCTAGTTCTTCTAGCAGGTTCTTTAAACCTGTGAATCAGGATGTATCCTGCTCAGCTATCTCCTTATCAATCGCTCCTGGCGCCTTCATGGGAGATTCAACTGGCTAGTGTCTCCCACAATAGCAAAGATTCTTAATGTCCTTCTACATTATCACACAATTTTTATTTCATATTGAAGATTTTGTTTTTGTTTTTGCTTAGGAGAGTGAACCAGATAGCCGCTGGGGCTGGGGCTGGGGCAGACTGAAGCCAGGAACCAGGAGCCTCTTCTGGATCTCCCACGTGGTGGCAGCGACTCAAGGACTTGGGCCATCTTGCCTTGGTTTCTTCCCAGGCCATTAGCAGGGAGCTGGATCAAAAGCGAACAGGTACCCATTTTGGAAGCCAGCATCGCAGGCAGTGAATTTACTGTTTACACCCCAACATGAGCCCCCAGAACGAAAATGTTAAGTTGATATTCTCATTTCACACAAAACTGTTTAGTGGCAATGCCAAAGCAATTCACAGACTTGGTAATAATGTCTTAGTAAGGTTGAGAGTTTACATGGGAACTTATTTAATATGTGTAACTTCATACTGCCAGTATATATTACTATCAAGATTAAATAGTCATTTTTCAAGGAAAACAAACTCAAGAAAGGTAGAAAACTGAACTAGGTCAGGGACTATACATTGTCAAAAGGGCAATGAAGTTCTGTCCCCTAGATTCAAAGCATCAAAGTCCACTCAGACTTACAGGTGAGATTCATAATTTACTCTAAGCTCAAAGCATAAGAGTGAATTTTAAAGCTAACCCAACCTTCAGCATCTTAACAGTCATTGGAAATCTCAATGCAGGCTCAGTCACGACCAACTCAGAGCCTGCCATTCATCACTGTATCCCCAGTGGCTGGCTGTGTGTGATACTCATTTGGGTTTGTACATGCAGACATTCTAGATGTTAGCAGAATTGGTATTGCCTGGAAGAAGCAGTCCATTGTAATTAGATATAGCTTATTTATCATTATTTCAACATATAAATCTATTAAGTAAGCCCAGTGTTAGATTAGGCAGATCATCTCAACATCGGAAGTATTTCTCACCCTTTCCTTCTAAGGTATGTCAATAACACAGACGTGGAAAGTACTTGCCTTAACCTGAGGAATCACATACTTCAACACTAGTGTGTCCCAACTTTGATCCGTGGAACCCCAGAATTTTGTGAGATGCTCATGGTCATTTCATGAGGAATGATAGTGTGCGCAAATAATTTGGGAAAATAAGAGTTTAAATGTTAAGCTCAAATGTTTTCAGTACCATACTTGGTTAAGGGAAGAGAAGGGAATTCCCATTGAGTTGGCTGCCTCTGCACTTTGTTGGTCATTTCCTTTGCTGAACAGAAGCTTCTTAGTGTGTTGTAGTCCCACTTGTTTGTTTTGGCTTTGACTGCCTGTACTTTTGGTGACTTTTCTATGAAATCTATCGAAGCCTATATCTTCGAGTGCTTTGCTTTATTTTTCTCTAATAGTTCTAGGTGCAGATTTAGGTCCTTAATTTATTTAGAGCTGACTTTTATTTAAGGTGAAAGATAGGGATCTTGTTTCTTCTGCAAGTGGATATCCAATTGTCCCAACAGCAATTGTCGAAGACAATAAACTTTTCCAAACTCTTTCTGTGAAGCCAACATCACCTTAATACCAAAGTCAGATAGAAACACAACAGAGAAAGAGAACCACAGACAGAGATCTCTGATGAACACAGGTGCAAAAATCCTCAACAAAATATCAGCCAACAGGATCCAACAATATTTCAGACATTTCATTCACCCAAGCAGCTGGAATCTATCCCTGGCATGCAGGGATAGTTTGATACACACAATCAATAAACGTGAAACACCACATCAACAAAATGACGAACAAAAACCTTATAATCATCTCAATGTATGCAGAGAAGGCATTTGATGAACTCCAACACCACTTCATGCTAAAAACCCTAAACAAGAAAGGCATAAAAGGAACATTCTACAACACAATCAAAGCAATCTATGAAGAACCAAATGTCAGCATCAGTGGGAAAGGCTAGACACTTTCCCGCTAAGACCTAGTTAGACAAGGCTGTCCACTTTCACAACTAATAATATAGTATTGGAAATCCTCACTAGAGATGTTAGGCAAGAAAAAAAAAAAAGAATTCAAATTGGAAATAAGGAAGTAATTATTTCCATTCTCTCTAGACTTTAGGGTTTCCAATGAGAAATCAGCTGTAAGTCTGATTAGAGATCTTCCAAAGATAATCTATCATTTCTCCAATGTAGATTTTAGAATTTTTATCTTTTAGCATGGAAAGTTTTTAGCATGAAAAGTTCTTGCAGTAAAATTTTCTGGTCATGCTTATTATAATTTCTATGTGTTTCTAATACTTGAATCCCCCTATCTTTTCTCATGTTAGAGATATTTTTTTTTCAGTCATAATTTCACTGAATAGGCCTGATCCATTCTCTCCACACCTTGAGGAACTTCTAAGATACATCATTTTATGGGATACATCATTTTAGCTCAGAGATTTGTTCCTCTCTCTCACCAAGTCTGTTGTTAAGGCTTTCCAGTGTATTTTTCAGTTTGGCATATTGAATTCTTCATTTCTAATATTTTAGTGTCATTTCTTCTCAAAATCTCAGTCGCGCCTGGATATTTTCCATCCGTGTCGTACATTTGCCTCTCACTCATCATCTTTTGAGCTTCTGAATTCATTTTTAGCATTTCTTCAGTATCTTCATCGTCACATCCTCATATTGAAACATCCTGTTCCTTTGGGAATCATATTGTCTCCCTTGTTCCTGCTTCTCTTTTACTTTTAGGCATTTCTGAAAGCACTTGTTGGTTCTCTCCTGTGATGGTTTGTTAGCTTTATGCTATGGCTGTGCGGCTCGGTGGAGTGATTGCTCCTTCAGTGGGTAGATGGAGGTATGTTCTCAGTGCGGGCAGCACGCTCTGCTCTGTGCTCAAGGGTCGGGTGAGAGTGCAGGTGACCCCCGAGTTGGGCATGGTGCATTTCGTCTTGACAGCATGGGGAAGGTGATGATCATGATGTTAGTGGAATCAATGCCTGTGGTTGCTATAAAGATTTAATGAGCTAATGAGTGAAAGTATGCATATAAGGCAATCAGTCAATACTAATTTCCCTATGGCAACAAGAGTTACTATAGATCATGCCCTTCAGATAGTTTCATAAAAATAGTAATTAACCTGGAATCAGCCTAGGATAAGGAACAGCAGAAGATAAGAAACCTCACTTCCAAGCACTGGGCTAACTTTGGCAGGGGACAGTACAAAGGCTGGGGCAAGACATCGTGTCTTGAAATCTTTTTAAATTACAGAGGCAGCTAGAAAACTCATCAGTGAAATCTGACTGGCCTCCTTCATTGCCAGTATAGCTCACAGTGTCCAACTTGGAAGCGAAGAACTCTCAGGTTCCCATGAGTCCCCAAGTGAAAGAAACCTGATGACGTGTGAGGGGCGGGGCCCCCTGCCTTCTCTTTGTCTTCTGTCTCTGCCCCAACACGGTGCAGGGCCTCTAGTGCGCACGTGTGGGGCTCCCGCCTGCCAATCCAAGCTCTGTGGGCACCCTTGGCTGCCTTTGGCTGAGGACTGTACTCTTCTTTGGCACGGTCTTTGCAATAGAAACGTCCTAGAGCAGCAGGCGCAGAGCCATGGGAACAAGGAATCCTGTGATTCCAAGTCCTTGCCATTCCGGCCAGAAGGGGAGGATGTGGGCTGTGGCTGGGCACAGCTCCTTAGGCCCCCGACCCTACTGATGTGAAGGGTGGACTTAAGAGCAGGAAGTCCAAATGATGGATCACTTGTACCACAAACTAGAGAAGAAAGATCTACTCACATTTAGTTATAAGAAAAATCCATATTCTGGCTTCCAAAGGTGATCAAATGAAACTCAACAGTCCACTGGAAATTACAACAGAAAAGAAAAAGAGCCTAAACAGTCTTACTTTTTCAAGACTTGTTTTCAAAGACAGAATTAGAGAGACAGACAAAGAGAAGACATTCTATCTGCTGATTCACTCCCCAAATGGCTGCAATAGCCAATGCTAGGCCAGGTCCAAGCCGGAAGCCTGGAACTCCAGCCAGATCTCCCCCATTGGTGGCAGGGGCCCAAGGACTTAGACCATCTGTAGCTGCTTTCCCAGGTGACTGAGCAGGCAACTGAATCAGAACTGGTGCAGCCGGGGCTCAAA